ACACACACACACACACACACACACACACACACACACACACACAACAATAAAGGAAAAAAGCAGGAGGGAATATAATAACCCATGGTTTAATAGACAGTGTCAGGAAGCAAAGGTGAGAAGCAGGAGGGAGTGGAGGAAGTACAGAAGACAAAGGACAGAGGACAACAGGATTAGATGTAACAGAGCTAGGAATGATTACATTAACATAAGACGAGTGTCGGAAAGAAATTATGAGAATGATATTGCAGTCAAAGCGAAAAAGCAACATAAATTACTACATAGCCATATAAGAAGGAAGATGTAGGTAAATGACCAAGTGACAAGACTGAGGAAAACAGAAGGGGCATATACAGAAAGCGACAAGGAAATCTGCGAGGTACTGAATGCAAATTTCCATGGAGTGTTCACAATCGAGCCTGAGCAGCTCCCATTGTTAGAAGCGATTACCCTAGCTGAAAGACTATCAGATATAGAGGTGACAGCAGAGGAGGTAATGAAACAGTTGACAACACTGGATGCAAATAATGCTGTTGGACTAGACAAAGTATCACCGTGGATAGTTAAAGAGGCAGCGCAGGCTCTCAGCGTGCCTCTGGCAATGATCTTTAATGAGTCACTTATGTCGGGAGAATTGCCCAGTTGCTGGAAGGAGGCAAATGTCGTACCGATTTTCAAGAAAGGTGATAGGGAGGAGGCACTTAACTACAGACCCGTATCACTGACAAGCATCCCCTGCAAAATACTTGAAAGAATAATTAGGCTAAGACTTGTTGAGCACCTGGAGAGCATTGGGTTTGTAAACAAGCACCAACATGGGTTCTGGACAGGGAAATCATGCCTAACAAACCTTTTAGAATTCTACGATAAAGTAACAAGGATAAGGCAGGACAGAGAAGGCTGGGCAGACTGCATATTTCTTGACTGCCAAAAGGCCTTTGATACAGTACCGCATATGAGACTGCTATACAAACTTGAGAGGCAGGCAGGAGTAAGCGGAAAGGCCCTAGTATGGGTGAAGAACTACCTAACAGGAAGGAGCCAGAGGGTAATGGTAAGGGGCGAGAAGTCGGACTGGCGAACAGTAACAAGTGGAGTACCTCAAGGATCGGTGCTGGGACCAATCCTCTTTCTAATTTACGTAAATGATATGTTTACAGGAGTGGAATCATACATGTCAATGTTTGCGGATGACGCAAAATTAATGAGAAGAGTTGTGACAGACGAGGATTGTAGGATCCTCCAAGAGGACTTAAACAGGTTGCAGAGATGGTCAGGGAAATGGCTACTGGAGTTCAACACCAGTAAATGTAAAGTTATGGTAATGGGATCAGGTGATAGACGACCAAAAGGACAGTACACAATGAAGGGGAACTGCCTACCTGTAACGATTCGAGAAAGAGACCTGGGAGTGGATGTGACACCTAATCTAACTCCTGAGGCACATATAAATAGGATAACGACAGCAGCGTACTCTACACTGGCGAAAATTAAAACTTCATTCAGAAACCTAAATGAGGAGGCTTTTAGGGCGCTTTACACTGCCTACGTGAGACCCATCTTAGAGTATGCCGCGCCATCATGGAGCCCCCACCTGAAGAAACACATAAAGAAACTGGAGAAGGTTCAGAGGTTAGCGACGAGGCTTGTCCCAGAGTTATGAGGGATGGGATACGAAGAGCGTCTGAAGGAACTGAACCTTACGACACTAGAGAAAAGAAGGGAGAGAGGAGATATGATAGGGACATATAAAATACTCAGGGGAATTGACAAAGTGGAAATAGATGAAATGTTCACACGTAATAATAACAGAACGAGGGGACATGGGTGGAAACTGGAAACTCGGATGAGTCACAGAGATGTTAGGAAGTTTTCTTTAAGCGTGAGAGTAGTGGAAAAATGGAATGCACTTGGGGAACAGGTTGTGGAAGCAAACTCTGTTCATACTTTTAAAATTAGGTATGATAGGGAAATGGGACAGGAGTCATTGCTGTAAACAACCGATAGCTGGAAAGGCTGGATCCAAGAGTCAGTACTCGATTCTGCAAGCACAAATAGGTGAGTACTCACACACACACACACACACACACACACACACACACACACACACACACACACACACACACACACCCAAGGTTGACTGTACAGACGTAAACAGAAGGGCCCAGCTCTCAGCACCTTGCACCCAACACCTCAACCAAAGATTTGTTAATCGTTTGTCTCTCAAACTGACTCACTGACTCAGTTGCTCTCACGCGCAAAACTCATCACCTCCGCCTAACCGTCTCGAAGCAACCTGCTGTCCTACAAAGAACGTCGCTTTTCGCACGTATGCGCTGCATAAGGCCCAAAATCGTCGTACCAGAACATGGAAGCGGTTCGCGAAAAGCGACGTACTGTACCCGTTTTCTGTTTTGGGTCCTCTGGCTTAGTCTGGTAAGGTTAGGCGAGGACACCTCTTTAAATTACCTTGACGTTTTGAAACCTTAGGAGGACGGGCTGCTCGAAGCAGCGTTCTTCAAACAAGTTTCATTTCTTGAGACATAGTGACCTCGAGTAATTTATTCACTCTTTCACGCGGAAGACTTTAAAGTTTCTGCTTAGATATATTTTTGGACGGGTTGTGACTGTCTATTACAGTGTGACCTGCATAATTTGTTTTGTTGAGATGTTGACGTCTGCTCCAGCTGTTCTCCTGAGTCTGCCCTGTCTGCCAGTTGATAGTTCCCAGTTTCTACCATAAATAATAAATAATAAATATGTTTATTCAGGTAAGGTACATACATACAAGTGATGTTACATTAATGGATTGATATATAGATAGAGCTAGTACATACAATGCCTAAAGCCACTATTACGCAATGCGTTTCGGGCAAGCATTTGCCTGCCAGTTGTATCCTGCCTCTCCCACGAGGCTTATTTGATATCCTGCCTCTCCCACGAGGCTTATTTGGTGTCCTGCCTCTCCCACGAGGCTTATTTGATATCCTGCCTCTCCCACGAGGCTTATTTGATATCCTGCCTCTCCCACGAGGCTTATTTGATATCTTGCCTCTCCCACGAGGCTTATTTGGTGTCCTGCCTCTCCCACCAGGCTTATTTGGTGTCCTGCCTCTCCCACGAGGCTTATTTGGTGTCCTGCCTCTCCCACGAGGCTTATTTGGTATCCTGCCTCTCCCACGAGGCTTATTTGATATCTTGCCTCTCCCACGAGGCTTATTTGATATCCTGCCTCTCCCACGAGGCTTATTTGGTGTCCTGCCTCTCCCACGAGGCTTATTTGATATCCTGCCTCTCCCACCAGGCTTATTTGGTATCCTGCCTCTCCCACGAGGCTTATTTGATATCCTGCCTCCCCCACGAGGCTTATTTGATATCCTGCCTCTCCCACGAGGCTTATTTGGTATCCTGCCTCTCCCACGAGGCTTATTTGGTATCCTGCCTCTCCCACGAGGCTTATTTGATATCCTGCCTCCCCCACCAGGCTTATTTGATATCCTGCCTGTTCCACGAGGCTTATTTGATATCCTGCTTCTCCCCCACGAGGCTTATTTGGTATCCTGCCTCTCCCACGAGGCTTATTTGGTATCCTGCCTCTCCCACGAGGCTTATTTGATATCCTGCCTCCCCCACGAGGCTTATTTGGTATCCTGCCTCTCCCACCAGACTTATTTGATATCCTGCCTCTCCCACCAGGCTTATTTGATATCCTGCCTGTTCCACGAGGCTTATTTGATATCCTGCTTCTCCCCCACGAGGCTTATTTGACATCCTGCCTCTCCCACCAGGCTTATTTGATATCCTGGCTCTCCCACCAGGCTTATTTGATATCCTGCCTCCCCCACCAGGCTTATTTGATATCCTGCCTGTTCCACGAGGCTTATTTGATATCCTGCTTCTCCCCCACGAGGCTTATTTGGTATCCTACCTCTCCCACCAGACTTATTTGATATCCTGCCTCTCCCCCACGAGGCTTATTTGATATCCTGCCTCTCCCACGGTCTTTGCCACCCAGGAAAAATATCACTGTTTACTTCCCACAGTGTCTGTATATAGTTAGTGACTTGTTAAGACAGGTCGCCCTTGTTCCCTATGACTATAGATGTACCTTAGCGGACTTTTGAGTGGCTGAAACAGCCTGCAGTTGTAACAAGAATCACCTGGGGCTAGATTCACGAAAGCACTTACGCAAGCACTTACGAAAGTGTACATCTTTCCTCAATCTTTGACGGCTTTGGTTACATTTATTAAACAGTTTACAAGCATGAAAACTTCCTATTCAATTGTTGTTATTGTTATAAACAGCCTCCTGGTGCTTCGGAGCTCATTAACTGTTTAATAATTGTAAACAAAGCCGCTAAAGATTGAGAAAAGATGAACAGATTCGTAAGTGTTTGCGTAAGTGCTTTCGTGAATCTGACCCCTGGTTCGTATCACCTGAAGTAAGGGCGAAGAGGTAGAATTAATAGCTTATTGACAGAGCTCGGGTGCATGGGGGGCAATTGTGTAAAACCCTGGTTTGTGTCTCGGAGAGGCTGCAGGATCCGTGGTAGGTCAAGTTGATTTCCCGGTTGCAATTCTTTTGACCATGTTTATAGCTCAGTCGATTAAGGCAGCGTCTGGGATCTTCTCGGACGTAGGTTCGAACCCTCGTCACAGCCCTTGTGGATTTGTTCACCTGGTTAGTAATTATGTTCTTTAAATATATATTCTTCATATTTTGTACCTTTTTAATGAATAATTTCTTATTCTATTAGTCTTACTTGATGGGAAAAGTCGAATGGTACGATTTAAACACTTCTTAAATGGCTAAATCATTGACCTAGGGCAGGTCTAATCACCTGGGATTCGAACCCACGGTTGGGAATAAGGGAGGCTAAATTATTTATATTTCACAATTTTATTTTGTTAGTGGTATCATTACCACCTTCACTTTCATTTGATATTTGTGAATATAAGCTTAGGGTTCCCTCCAGGTCGTAAGGTTAAGTGAAAGACGCACACGTTATCAAGCACTTTATTAAACAAATGGAAAAAACTTTGGGATCAAAGAGATCGACCGGCAGCAACCGAGGTACATACGCACATATACATATATACACACACGCACATATACGCACATATACATATATACACACACGCACATATACATATATACACACACGCACATATACATATATACACACACGCACATATACGCACATATACATATATACACACACGCACATATACGCACATATACATATATACACACACGCACACACATTCAACTCAATCTCTTGAAAGCAAACAAAATTAGAACAAATACAATATAAAATAAAAATAAAACAAGATTCATTCACTGGTATTATGACTTGTGAATGAATCAAGACAGGTAACTTGTTTGGTTTTGCTCGTGGCGCCACGTGACTTTCATACTTAGAAACGTGATGCCACGTTTGTAAACAAAGGCACGTGGCGTCATGTTTGTACACAAAAAGGCACGTGACATTGTGTTTGTAAACAAACCCACGTGGTATTACGCTTATAAACAATGGCAGTGTAATGGAGTATGGGGAAGCAGGACTAGGCAAGGTACTTGTGTCTCTAAATCACGGACGTTTAAGACTGAGTTTTACGCCATTAAATCTAGATATTCCAAGTAGAGGTCTTGTTCCATTTTCTATTTGATTAAGGGATGAGGTGAAAAACTAGGTAGAAACCCCAGACACATGGAGTTGAAACCACAAAAGTCGACTTAAACAAGCTTAAGCCAATTTGTGGAGATCAGATACACGAGAAGACTCTCAAAACAATACCACACGAATGGTATCGGTGGTACAATACCACCGTATCGATCATCTTGTACAAACTACATCATTTCTTATGGTGATCAAACATCTCAATATCATTTACAGACATTTTTAAAGTTGTGTAAACTTATAAGATGTGACAAACTTAAGTTGATTTGTGGAAGCCTTTACATGTGGCTTGTAGAAACCACACCAGCGAGGTATTCAGTATTTGAACGACACACACACTCACACACACACACACACACACACACACACACACACACACACACACACACACACACACACACACACACACACACACACACACACACACACACACACCTCCTTACACACACACACACACACACACACACACACACACACACACACACACACACATACACACACACACATGCAAACACACAAAAAAACTGGTAAGACAAAAATATTGCTTATATGCAACTATATTTCATAAATATCTATACATGAATACAAAGGCACTAAATATTTTATGTATTTTACCCTAAAACTCATCCATGTAGTCACCGGGGGAGGAGCTGGAGTGATGGGGAGCAGTGGTCTTGACTGGAAAGTGATGGAACCGAAACATTGTAGCAATGTCGTTTGCAACCAGAAGCAAGGTGCAAGTGTCATTTCCATAAAAGAAACATCAATGATGCCATAACAGCTCATTATATATGTCCTTCAGATGGGGAAAAGTGATACGAACTTGGTGGCCACATATCTTGTAGCGTGTAGGACTGTACCACCACCCTGATGGTCGACGACAGAGATACTGGCCCACTAGTCTTGGTGGTAGAACAGAAACCTCGCGTAGAGCAAAAGGGTATTTTGCTCTACTGTTTTGCTATTTCCAACCATGTCTGGACACCTTTGAAGGCATGCTTCAGTGATGCCAGCCAGCCAGCCAGCCAGACAGCCAGCCAGCCAGCCAGCCAGACAGACAGCCAGCCAGCCAGCCAGCCAGCCAGACAGACAGACAGCCAGCCAGACAGCCAGCCAGCCAGCCAGACAGACAGCCAGCCAGCCAGCCAGCCAGCCAGACAGACAGCCAGCCAGCCAGCCAGCCAGCCAGCCAGCCCAGTCGCCACATAGTTTGTGATTGGATGAGTGTGTCGCCATCAACTTCACCACCTCCCTCCCAGCACGTCTCAGTAACACAAGAGGTCACACCGACCACATAAATAACACCATAAATTATTCATTCAAAAGTATTGAGCATTTTGTGATGCCACGTCAAGGCACAACGAGAGAGAGAAACTCTCACATGTCCAGTTTCAAAGCACATTTAATTGATTAAAGAAACCAAGGCTTAATCACTAAATTAATGCATAAATCTTTTGAGAGGTAACCTGTGGGTTTCTGAACAGTTTGTGTGTGGTTTCTGAGGTATGAGAGAGTTTCTAGTAAGATTTTGAGTATTTTGGGCAACTCTCCTAGATATTTTGAGCAGTTTTCAAGAATTCATTTTTTTTAATAGGGAATGAGAGCTATTGGACATAATGTCGATAACAAATTTCATATGGATTTGACACCGAAATATCATTGTTTTCACCCAGCAAAGTTATACCCGGTATAGTTCCGTTAACACTGAACATAACTAACACTTATGACTTGAAGAAAGCACCAACAGTTTCAACCAGTCCACACGCGAGACAAGACTGGCATATTTATGACATCTCCGTGTATGCCATCTCTCAAAGTCTCTTTCTTGAGAAGGCAGACAATTCTCCATCATAGCAGGCGAAGGGGGGTTTGTCCCTCATCCAGTTAAGACCCTGATGCTGGGGCTGTAGGATGTTCTTCACTAGGGAAAAGGACAGTTCTTCAGCTAACCGACGATAAAAGATCCACACAGCAGGTAAATGTATTCCTCCACGTTCAAAGGTGACTGGGATAGTCAGATCTCTGGCCCGGGAGGGGTTGTGTCGTCGTCCTCCTCGTCAGTTTCTGATGAAAGTAGAAGTGGTGAGGAGCACTAGTCTGGGCCTGAGGACAGGGACGAGCGAGCTGGCCACAACCTCTCGTTGGACCGCACGTTTGGTTGGACGAGCAGGGTGCTCAGGGTGTTCCACCCTGGAAGACTTCAGGGTGACTCCTGCCCAGGGAGTCGTAGGGTGGCTAATGGTTTGGGCATTAGTTGCTTGGATGCTGGAGCTGCTGTGTTGGGCGAGGGAGTTAAGTGGGCGGGCGATGGTGGTGGTGTCTGGTTGTGTCTGCGAGACGTTTCTTCCCACTCGGGAGTTGCTTGGGGTAGTGTGATGCAGGTTTGGCCAGACACGAGTGTCGACCGGTCGGAAACTTCTGCTTCTTGATGCGCGTCTGTCACTGGTGGTGTCTGGTCGAGCGGTTCTTGCTCTGGAGACCAAACTGTGATCTGCGGCGCAGAGGCTGCGAGTCCTGCTTCCTGAGACACTGTGTGGGAGGCGAGGAGGAGGCTTGTACACGGTGTTTCTGTAGTGCTGGAGGAGGAGGAGTGGGGGATGGAGAGACGCTTGGACTGGCCTCTCATTCCGTCACGACTCTGCCTTCTCCAGGTCCAGGCACGGTAACATGCTCTCACTCTCAGTTGTTGAGGCGTCGGTGGTGGCGCCCGAGGAGGCTGAGGAGCCCGAGCTGGAGGTCGTGGCTGTGGAAGATGAAGTAGTAGAGGTAATGGAGTCGCGCCAAGGCTCCCAAGTGAATCCCTTCGCACGAAAAAGCTTATTAAGCAAGGCAGCGAGGGGAGAGCGGCGTGAGCCCATCTGGCCACTGCACATGACTAGGTAGGGGTTGAGGGCCGAGTTAAAGTTGGCGTCGGGCATGGTTGGGGACGGCGGGATCATCTCCAGCGTCAGGCGCGACGGGGGGCGGCGCCGACTGGACCCCGCGCTGCTCTTGGCGCTGCTGAGGGGCAGACCCAGCAGGCGGCGCACCTCGCGCTGGATCCGGCGGGAGCGATACAGGTAGACGTACGGCGACACCACAGAGTTGGTGAGCGCCAGCACCATCACTACGCTCTGTACCACACCTGGCATCCACACCTGCAACACAATCACACAGTTACCCATCACACCTTCAACACCAACACCACGACACACACACACACAGTTGAGAGGCGGGACCAAAGAGCCAGAGCTTAACCCCAGCAAGCACAACTAGCTGTGTCTCCCCCCCCCATCCTCTTGTTTAGACAGTAACTATTGTGATGATAGTCAAGAATTCGTACATAGCTTTTAGATAGTAGTATACTGACTAGTAAGGAATTCTTTTAAAATAAATGAAGCTAAAACACAATCTGATATATTCCTAGACCCTAGTATAGCACACATACGTACTATATTAGCCCTCAGAGTATGTCTAGGGAGGTTACGTTCATTTGTCAAAGCAACAAGTAGAAATATAGTTTTCCGGTTTGTCCAACTCAATAGTTCACATTTGTACTTATATCGTTGTACGTCGGTATATATACTATGTTCCTCATCGTTACTATAAGTACTACCAAAACAGAAGGATGGGCTGTAACATTATAAATTTGAATTAAATCATAAACTACCCCATTCCAAATATTTAATAACTTTTGGAAATATATAGGTAACGAGAGAGAGGGAGAGGAGTAACCAAGAACTTAAACCACTGAAGGATTCCAGACTACCCTCCCACAGGAAGACCTTTCCATGATGACACCCACAGGAAGACCTTTCCAGGATGACACCCACAGGAAGACCTTTCCATGATGACACCCACAGGAAGACCTTTCCAGGATGACACCCACAGGAAGACCTCTCCAAGATGACACCCACAGGAAGACCTTTCCAGGATGACACCCACAGGAAGACCTTTCCAGGATGACACCCACAGGAAGACCTTTCCAGGATGACACCCACAGGAAGACCTTTCCAGGATGACACCCACAGGAAGACCTTTCCAGGATGACACCCACAGGAAGACCTCTCCAGGATGACACCCACAGGAAGACCTTTCCAGGATGACACCCACAGGAAGATCTTTCCAGGATGACACCCACAGGAAGACCTCTCCAGGATGACACCCACAGGAAGACCTCTCCAGGATGACACCCACAGGAAGACCTCTCCAGGATGACACCCACATTAAGACCTCTCCAGGATGACACCCACAGGAAGACCTTTCCAGGATGACACCCACAGGAAGACCTCTCCAGGATGACACCCACAGGAAGACCTCTCCAGGATGACCCCCACAGGAAGACCTCTCCAGGATGACACCCACAGGAAGACCTCTCCAGGATGACACCCACAGGAAGATCTTTCCAGGATGACACCCACAGGAAGACCTCTCCAGGATGACACCCACAGGAAGACCTCTCCAGGATGACACCCACAGGAAGACCTTTCCAGGATGACCCCCACAGGAAGACCTTTCCAGGATGACCCCCACAGGAAGACCTTTCCAGGATGACCCCCACAGGAAGACCTCTCCAGGATGACACCCACAGGAAGACCTCTCCAGGATGACACCCACAGGAAGACCTCTCCAAGATGACACCCACAGGAAGACCTCTCCAGGATGACACCCACAGGAAGACCTCTCCAGGATGACACCCACAGGAAGACCTTTCCAGGATGACACCCACAGGAAGACCTCTCCAGGATGACACCCACAGGAAGACACCCACAGGAAGACCTCTCCAAGATGACAGCCTCTCCCGCCAATAAACTTCCTCCAAGAAACCCCCACTTGCTCACCTGGAAAAGTGTAGTGTGAAGCAGCGCGGCCGCATAGTAGGGAAGCCAGCAAGCAAAGAAGAGGACGATGACCACCACGGAGATCTTGGCCGCCCGCGACTCTTCCTTGTGCAGGAAGAGCGACGCATTACTGATGCGGTAGCGGAGGTTAGTCACGATCTGAGACGACGTGGATCTGGTCGACGGGGTCCTGAGGGGAGAGACGCCAGGCGTGGAGAGTCAGTTTGTGGCTTTACACTTGTGGCGTATTGCTTTGTGATATTGTGCTTATTCACGAGAGGAACATTGTGGGGAAAGGTACCAGGAGAGTGTGTGAGGTAGGTGGAGGTATTAGGTGGGAGAGAGACGGGTGGACGGTGGGAGAGAGACAGGTGGACGGTGTGAGAAAGACAGGTGGACGGTGTGAGAAAGACAGGTTGACGGTGAGAGAAAGACAGGTGGACGGTGTGAGAAAGACAGGTTGACGGTGTGAGAAAGACAGGTGGACGGTGTGAGAAAGACAGGTTGACGGTGAGAGAAAGACAGGTGGACGGTGTGAGAAAGACAGTTGAACGGTGTGAAAAAGACAGGCAGACGGTGTGAGAAAGACAGGTGGACGGTGTGAGAAAGACAGGTGGACGGTGTGAGAAAGACAGGTGGACGGTGAGAGAAAGACAGGTGGACGGTGTGAGAAAGACAGGTGGACGGTGTGAGAAAGACAGGTTGACGGTGAGAGAAAGACAGGTGGACGGTGTGAGAAAGAGAGATGGACGGTGTGAGAAAGACAGGTGGACGGTGTGAGAAAGACAGGTGGACGGTGTGAGAAAGACAGGTGGACGGTGTGAGAAAGACAGGTGGACGGTGTGAGAAAGACAGGTGGACGGTGTGAGAAAGACAGGTTGACGGTGTGAGAAAGACAGATGAACGGTGAGAGAAAGACAGATGAACGCTGAGAGAAAGACAGTTGGACGGTGTGAGAAAGACAGGTTGACGGTGAGAGAAAGACAGGTGGACGGTGTGAGAAAGACAGGTGGACGGTGAGAGAAAGACAGGTGGACGGTGAGAGAAAGACAGGTTGACGGTGAGAGAAAGACAGGTGGACGGTGAGAGAAAGACAGTTGAACGGTGTGAAAAAGACAGGCAGACGGTGTGAGAAAGACAGTTGAACGGTGTGAAAAAGACAGGTTGACGGTGTGAGAAAGACAGATGGCCGGTACGAGAAAGGAGCGACAAATTACCTTGAGGGGGCCCTGGAGGGAGCGACAGCATCAAGAGAGGAGCCACACAGGGAGTTGCGACGGGTCCTCTCGCTGTTCTGGTGAGCAGCGTGGTAGATGCGGACGTAGATCCAGGTGAGCAGCACCATGGGCACCACGAACGACACCACCATGTTGGCCAGCACGAAGCAGGAGCGGTATGTCCACGGGCCCTCCGTCTTGGGCATCACCTTCGGCGTGGCGGCCCCGCACACATTCCTGTAGGAGAGGAACACGTCTATGAGAACTACACGAGTGCAGGCGATGAGTCACAATAACGTGGCTGAAGTATGTTGACCAGACCACACACTAGAAATTGAAGGGATGACGACGTTTCGGGCCGTCCTGGACCATTCTCAAGTCGATTGTCGTCGTCCCTTCAATTTCTAGTGTGTGGGCTGGTCAACTACACGAGTGTCTTAACTGCATTTCTCAAGGGGGTCATTTTGTTACATTAAAAATTTTCTCGAAAGTTACTGTGAACTGAATACAAAATATCTTATACTATTGGAAGAGGAGGATCAGCTACAGGAGGAATTAGGGAGGAGTACAGGGGGAGAAATTTATGATAAGAATGTACTGAAACAGTATGACCATATACCACTCTTAAGGGTGTATTAGGGCAAACTGTGGGGGGGGGGGGTATGAAGATGGTGCTCAACTACTTGCACCATCGGGGATCGAACTCCGACCTTGCAAGAAGCGAAGCCTTCTCTGCACCGACCAATCCAAGTGGATGGGTAGAAGAAAAGTTAAGAGGAAGTAATGGTGGTGGAGAGAGAAATACAGACATTTAGGTATTGGTTTGATGCCGTGCAAAGAGGCAGTGATTGAGGAGGAGGTCAAGTAATTATCAGGAGAAAGCACCAAGTCATTACAACTATACAGCACTTGGAAGGGATGTAATGATTTAGGACAGAATGGAGGAAAGGCATGGTGTCTACCCACATGGACGGTCGGGAATTGATCTCCGCCCTGCAAGAAGCGAGACTGTCGCTCTACTACCCGGACCAAGACTGACGGAAGAGGAGCGTGTGTGACAGAGGTAGATGGAACAATCCGGATAGGTAGATATGAAGGGATATAAGAGAATGATATGCAGGCGATGAGTCACAATAACGTGGCTAAATTATGTTGACCAGACCACACACTAGAAGGTGAAGGGACGACGACGTTTCGGTCCGTCCTGGACCATTCTCAAGTCGATTGTGAAGAGGTCTTGAGAATGGTCCAGGACAGACCGAAACGTCGTCGTCCCTTCACCTTCTAGTGTGTGGTCTGGTCAAGGAAGGAACTATCAGGGGGAAAGCGCCAAGCCATTACGACTATATAGCACCTGGGAAGGGGTCAGGATAAGGATTTGGGATGGGACGGGGAGGCAAGACTGGTGTCCAACCACTTGGACGGTCGGGGGATTGAACGCCGACCTGCATGAAGCGAGACCGTCGCTCTACCGTCCAGCCCAAGTGGTCAAGAGAATGATAGACGTGATACAAGAGGAAGAACTTACCATGCTCGGCCAGAGAGGTCGCCGAAGGCAGCTGCCACTGCAATCAGAGTGGCAGCAAGCCAGCCGACGGCGATCATGGCGACGCTCTTGAGGCGAGTCACCAGCATGTGGTAGTGAAGGGGATCGGTGATGGCGCAGAACCTGTCCACGGCGATAAGCAGCGTAGCGAACACGGACGCCGACGCCACCAGCTCGGACACGGCGTCCATGGCACGACACAGCGACACGGACTCCCACACCGGCAGGAAGGTGTCGGCCACCACCAGAGGCAGCAGTAACCAAGACGCCAGCAGGTTGCACACCGTCAAGCTCACGATGAACCTGCAAAGATGATCAATCGCAAAATCTGAGAATATGGACAGACACATGAGAAACAAGTGAATTGACAAGATATACAACACGACTCACACCAAATCAAGGTACCACAAGGTGTTGGGAGGGAGGGGAGGAGGGAAGTCCTAAAGATTGATTGATTGATGAAGATTTAGCCACCCAAAAGGTGGCACGGGCATGAATAGCCCGTAAGTGGTGGCTCTTTTAAGCCATTGCCAGTATCAAGAGCTGATACTGGAGATCTGTGGAGGTGCGAATGCACCCTGCATGACGGGAGATGTCTCCCTTGTGAATGTGTTAAGATGAAGATGAAGCCACCCAAAAGGTGGTACGGGCATGAATAGCCCGTAAGTGGTGGGAAGTCCTAAAAGATGGGCTGGATATATATAGACCCAATGAACCATTCTTTATGTGTGAATGCTGTGACGTGTTGCAAGTTGCATGCATTGCCAGACCTCCACCGCCACTCCTTATACCCATCAGTCAAGCCGTCCAGTGATGGCGTGCATGGCTGGGAGCCAAGCGCACACACACACAGGGACCCTTAGAGCCTCGCCCCTGTGTGATGAACGACTCCATCTCCATCGTAACTGCTCAGTATGGTCCGTCTTCAGTGTCCCTGAAGACTGTTTTTGTTGGATCAGTTAGGACCACCTGCTGGTCCCAACCTCACACCTATTGGTCTTAACTCCACACCTGAATATTGGGACTGTATTAGATGTCTTCCAGCTTTCCGATAGTTCTCATGTTTCCAGCATCCAGCATCATTCCTAGTCCGAGATAAATCTGCAGTTTCCTGGCACTTCTGGGTTCATCATATCTTGTACAGTCTTTTCGGATGGCAATCCCTTTATATATTCTTGGAGTTCTGTTTCCCATGGTATTCCCGTTAGGACGTTCCTCATCTCGTCATATTTTCCTCTTTGGTAATTTAGCCTTTTCCTTTCCGATCCTTTCCTTGGATAGGTTATCCCTGCCTCCACCAGATACTCAAATGTTAATACACTGTGGTCATTCATTCCTATGGGGGCTTCAAATTTGACTTCCCTTATTTCTGACTCATTCAAGGTGAATATCAGGTCGAGTCTAGCTGGTTCGTCATTGCCTCTGTGTGTGTGTGTGTGTGTGTGTGTGTGTGTGTGTGTGTGTGTGTGTGTGTGTGTGTGTGTGTGTGTGTGTGTGTGTGTGTGTGTGTGTGTGTGTGTGTGTGTGTGTGAGTGTGTGTGTGTGTGTGTGTGTGTGTGTGTGTGTGTGTGTGTGTGTGTGTGTGTGTGTGTGTGTGTGTGTGTGTGTGTGTGTGTGTGTGTGTGTGTGTGTGTGTGTGTGTGTGTGTGTGTGTGTGTGTGTGTGTGTGTGTGTGTGTGTGTGTGTGTGTGTGTGTGTGTGTACTCACGCTACACCGTTGCTGGTGAGTGTGCTGTTACTATTACTACGCATCAACATTACAACTACTATCATTACCGCTGGTGATTCATGAATGAACCAGTCATACCACGCTAAGTTTACAAACAAACCCAGGACCTACTACGAGCCTAATATGAATGAACCTTGAAAACACTCTTAATTAATTCACTAACATGCTTCCTCTCCTCTTGAATGTCATGAATGGTACTCATGAATAAGTCTTGGGGTATACCCCACCTGATGAATGGTCTGTCGTCCGTATATGTCAGGAATATAATGTATTCATGCATCTGCCTGAGTGTGCAATGCTGTGAGGAGTATACTAAGATATACCTTTGGACCTCAAGAGATATGTCTTCTAATTTATATGAAAATATAACAAATTTGTAATGGTTTATTAACACACAGATGAGGAAAGTTATGTAGAAATCAGCCAGTAATAAAAATGGCGGCCATATGCCTAATATACACAAGGAAATGCCATTACCTTAATGTATCAACGAGAAACGCAATTGGAGCCGTGCGGGAGACTCGAACCAACGATATGGGGTAGGCAAGTGTGGCCCATGTGGAAGTGTTGGCCATGTGCGAGTGGCCCGCGAGAGAGAGAGGGGACCGCGAGAGAGAGAGGGCCCGAGAGAGAGAGAGGGGGGCCCGCAAGAGAGAGGGGGGCCCGCGAGAGAGAGGGGGGCCCGCGAGAGAGAGGGGGCCCGCGATAGAGAGAGGGGCCCCCGCGAGCCCAAACAGTCACGTACACACACCCGCGAGACATCATTCATAGAGCCAGGAGAGGCTCATATATAATCCCTTCGGGGTCGACCTCTTCAATTGAATGAACCCCTCACCCCATACCCCCCCCCACCCTACCATTCAACCCATCTACCGTACGTCAACCCCCATCCACCGCGGCAACCACCCTTAATCCATCTGCCCCAGACCAGACCCACAGATGCAAGGTCCTCCTCCCCCTTTGACTAGTTGGTTAGTATTGCAATTTAAAGCACTTCAATTATCCTTTGTTCGATAATTGTCTATGGTTGAGTGCTCAATCACCCTCTGTGGTTAAGTACTCAATCACCCACCACACATGCAGTTGAACAACTCTCTAACCAAGTTCGTTAACGACAAATTTATGAACAAATCATATAATGTAGTGTAGTGTGACATATATATATATATATATATATATATATATATATATATATATATATATATATATATATGATTGTTAGCATTTTAATTGAATTGTCACGTCTGTGGCAGGACAAATACAACTATAGACCACTTGTGTACATGTGTATGCAGGCGATGAGTCACAATAACGTGGCTGAAGTATGTTGACCAGACCACACACTAGAAGCTGAAGGGACGACGACGTTTCGGTCCGTCCCTTCAATGCTACATGTGTATGTAGCATTAACCATTGTGTAATTAACTTTAAAAGATTGTCACTTGCTTAGCTAAGCGAACACTGGGGTTCAGTTCCTGAACCTACCACCGCCTATGGGATGGGTATGGGGTGTATAATAAAGAAATTCAATTACACCCCATTCCCCACTGCCAACCCATACCCCCCCCCCCCCCCCTTGGTCCAACCACTTGGACTGGACGGTAGAGCGACGGTCTTGCTTCATGCAGGTCGGCGTTCAATCCCCGACCGTCCACAAGTGGTTGGCCACCATTCCTTTCCCCCGTCCCGTCCCAAATCCTGATCCTGACCCCTAGTGCGTTCTCCTGATAATTCCCCTTCCCTCTGGCATTGTTGGCAGGCGGTGAAATATATTTATATTTTTAATATACAAATATAATGTGATTGTACTCACGTAGATGTGCTGGCGGGGGATTCCATATACTTAAAACTCTAATGCTGAAGTTCTTTCTAGCATCCTATTTCAAATAATGTCCTTGTCTACCCTGTCAATTCCTCTAATAGTTTTGTATGTAGTGATCATGTCTCCTTGGGTCTTCTATCACAGTGATGTGAGGTTTTGATTTTTTAGTTTTCCTCTTCTAACTCATTAATGCTGAGCTCTGAGGTTAGTGTGGTGGCACACATCCTGGCCTTTTCAGTTTTTATTTTCTATTGCATATTCTAAAATTGGTCTGACATACGTTGATTTATGTCTGGGCCAGCCATCAGACTGTTCAATGACAGCCTGCTGCTGTCAGCTCAGCCCCAGGCAGCTGGCACACGTGTCGTACACGGCCCAAATGCTTCCTTACAACCAGGGTTGGTCGCCACGTTCTTGGCTCGGTGGAGGCACATCGACCTAAATTATTTTAATGAGGGTGAATTTAAGAGCAAGATAACTGTTGATGACCCTTGATGATAACAGATCGACGAGGATATCATGAGAGCGTGAACCTGACCCAGGAGGCAAGACGCAATTACCCTCCCGAGAGATTGGTTCGAACCCTGACTGTATCCCCCCCCCTCCCCGGGAGGCTTTGTATTCCCAGGGTCAAAACAGGTTGTTAGCAAACAGATGTGATCTAAGAGGGTAAACAGTGAGCAATGAAGCAGCAAGCGGAGCAACAGGCCTGTTGGGGAAGGCCGGTCGGCCGAGCGGACAGCACGCTGGACTTGTGGTCCTGGGTTCGATCCCAGGCGCCGGCGAGAAACAATGGGCAGAGTTTCTTTCACCCTATGCCCCTGTTACCTAGCAGTAAAATAGGTACCTGGGTGTTAGTCAGCTGTCATGGGCTGCTTCCTGGGGGTGGAGGCCTGGTCGAGGACCGGGCCGCGGGGACACTAAAATGCCCCGAAATCATCTCAAGATATAAGGCTTGGACTATCGTCGGCACCCTTTTCCATGTAACTTTTCTTCACTTCGGCTTCCATAAGGCTACTTTTTTTTTTGAGATATATACAAGAGTTGTTACATTCTTGTACAGCCACTAGTACGCGTAGCGTTTCGGGCAAGTCCTTAATCCTATGGTCCCTGGAATACGATCCCCCGCCGCGAAGAATCGTTTTTTCATCCAAGTACACATTTTACTGTTGCGTTAAACAGAGGCTACAGTTAAGGAATTGCGCCCAGTAAATCCTCCCCGGCCAGGATACGAACCCATGACATAGCGCTCGCGGAACGCCAGGCGAGTGTCTTACCACTACACCACGGAGACTGCTAAATACTCGTTCGCTTCCACTGTAGCCGCCGGCGCCTACCCTAAATCTCCCCTCACACACCGTGTCAGTGCGCCTGGCACCTTCCCCTCACCCGCCTGGTTACGGTCTCGAGGGAGCGTGAGAGGGCACAAAGGGATGGCGCGAGGGGGCCATATATGTGTAAGGGAAGTTAGTGGAGTGGAGGCACTCCTCTAAGGGGTGCTTGGGGCCCCCGGGGAGTGGAGACGTGTCGGAGTTATGGGCCAGCGGGGCCAGGCTTGCCAGGCGCACCCCCCATTGCTGCCCCCACACAATATAAATCACTGCTCTGGCCGACATAAACAAGTCGTTAAGGATAGGAGAGAGAGAGAGAGAGAGACAGACAGACAGACAGAGACAAAGAGAGACAGAGAGAGAGAGAGACAGACAGACAGACAGACAGACAGACAGAGACAGAGAGAGAGAGAGAGAGAGA